TTTCTTTTTTTTAATTTTATTTTTTACTTTTTCCTCATAGTAGTATTTATTTTTCAAGAAAATGAAAAGAAAAAAAAGACAGGGACGAACGGAGACATAGAATGAAAAGGCCTTTTTTTCTTGCAATGTATAGGAAAGAGAGAGAAGAGAGGAGAAAAAGATACGATAGAAAGAGAAGTGAAAAACAAGAGATAAGCAGAGAGGAATTGGAGAGTTGAGGAGGTTAAAATCTAAAAGATCGGGAACACCTGGTATACGAAAGTGATGATGAACGGATCAATAAATCATCGTTCATAATAGAATATATTCTAAGCCATTTTTTTTTCCATTCCTAAATTAGTATCTGAGGGATCAGAAACGATTACTGCAATAATAATTACCGAAATTTCAAATTGTAATTCTCGATATTTTATGCTCCTTGTGATATGTTGTACTTCTTGTCCCTTATCAGAAGAGAGGTTTAAAAAGAGGAAGGATTGGATGGGGAGGTTCTTTTCATATTAGAAGTAGTTGGCACGGGCAGACACTGGTTAACTAACGCTTTAACGGCGGCACCATTCCTCTTCCATTTCTTTCGTCCTGTCTCTCCGTCCGTCGGTTCGTCCCGTCCCGTCCCGTCCCGTCCCGTCCCGTCTCGTCTCGTCCTGTCCCGTCCTGTCCTGTCCCGTCTTGTCTTGTTTTGTCTCGTTTTGCTTTGTTTTGTCCTGTCCTGTCCTGTCGCGACCCATCTGTTGATGTATACTATGCTCTATCATTGGCTTTAGTAGTAGATCATCCCTTCAATTATATTTGTATGTGTATGTATTATATTGTGTATGTGTGTGTGTGTGTGTGTATGTGTGTGTGTGTATGTGTNTGTGTGTGTATGTGTGTGTATGTGTATGTGTATGTGTATATGTGTGTGTATGTGTATGTGTATGTATTTGTGTGTGTGTTGTTGAAGGACTTTAGTAGGCCTTCTTCATTAGTCTCTTTCTCATATATATATTCTTTCATTATGTTCACCCTGAAAGTATTAGGGTTATACTTAGAAATCATTTAGTTTACAATTTGATCTTCGAGAATATTAATCCTATCGGATTTCATTTTACCTCACTTCTATCAATTTAGTTAATCGATCATTCAATCTATGTGAGTGTAATATTCTTTAAATGAAGAAATCCGATTTCTTCCCGGATATTACATTATAGTGATGATAGAAATTAATTGTGAAGGTAAGTTATGAAGCGGAGGAAGTATTAACGATTGAAGTAAAAATTAGATGTGATTGACAGTTATTATTTGGTCCCTCTAAAGGATCATCTTTTGGAAAGTAGACTTTAGAAATTTTCCCATTCGAGAGAGGGAAGAATGGGAAAGGAAGTGTGGAGGAGGAGAATATGTAAGCATCATTGTACAGCGATTGGGAGGAGGATGTTAGTGAATTGATAGGATAGGTCAAAGGTTAACTGTTGAACAATAGTCGCGCCCACTAAGAAATGTAGCTCGTTCAGATTGGCTCAAATAGCATGTGGTGAGAAGGCAGACCGAGGATGGAGCTGTTGAGATGGCGGCTTCGACGACGATGACAGTGATGATGATGATGATGATGATGATGATGATAATGATGATGATGATGATGATGATGATAATGGTTGTGTGACTGGAGTGAGGGGGTCGTTGGCACGACGCGGTATCCGTTGCTATGTTCAACAACCCAATCGTCACCATTGTCGTCGCCACGCAATCGGTGATGATCCCGTAGGGGGGACGTGTAATAGTGACCAGCGGTGATTTTGTGTGTGTATGTGTATGTGTATGTATTATGTGTGTGTGTGTGTGTCTGTGTGTGTGTCTGTGTGTGTGCGTCTGTGTGTGTGTGTGTCTGTGTGTGTGTGTGTCTGTGTGTGTTACCGGTGCGAGGTAGCCCACGGTCAACCCGTAGATCCGAACTTGTGTTGAGATTTTTTTTCGAACATGAGCTCGGCATTCGGGTAGATTGCGTGCCACCATATCATTCCAATCCGTACCATTTTTGCCCATACCACCCCCGATCCTATCGTTTTTTTTTTCTGATGGCGAGAGTTACTCTCAGATGCTGCTAACAATCTCGAATGGTAGCTTGCTCGATGAGGTAGTAGGTTGTATAGTTATGAGTTGTATCATATCGGAGAAACTGTCCAGCCTGCTAGCTTGCCGTGCGGGTCCATCATCTCTTCCATTCACAAATTGACCCTTGTTGGTTTTATCTGAATTCAACAGATTATATTATTCGTAGCGCATGATCGACTGTATTTATCTGCTAGCTGGATTTGCTGATGATAAGGATGATTCATTCAACCAAGATCAGGCTACTAATGGAAAAATATAGGCCTGTATCACACGAAGATATAGGCTTCTCAATGATAATGAAATTAACAGTTTTTTCGTTTTCTGCTCATCATCGATATTAATGTATGGTTTGTGTTACTTATCGGATGCTTATCACAATATGTATAATGATAAATCATCCTTTCTTTCATTTTTTTTTCTTGATGATAAGTATATTTTTGATTGCAATTTTCAGAGAGAAAATAGGATTGTCTGGTAGTTTTTTTTTCTCTCTCTTTCTTTTTTATTTGTGAGATTGAATTACAAAGATAACAAAATTTTTCATCTTGAAAATAAATGGTTGAAGATAAATCATTAATTCTACAAATTCAGTGATATTGATACGGGAGAAGAGAGGATAGTTATTTCTTTTTAGATTGGATAGTAAAGAGCAGGTGTTCAATCTGAAATTAATTTTAGATATCACGCTGTTCATATTGCAACAGATTTTTAGTCGCATTTGGTTGGTTTAATAATTTGAAGTGCAATTCTTATATAATTAAAATTAAACTAAAGAAGATTGATCATATTAAATGCTTCATTTAATATCTGTTGTGTCTTTATGACTGGTATAAACATTTCCAGAAGTATTTATTGAGTATAATCCAGTTTATTTTATCTTTTTATCCATCTAAAAAGGAAGCATGAAAAATATTTTTAACTGAATGCAGTTAAATTCGAATCTAATACAGACGAAAAATACTTTAAAATGATAACTGATATGGATTACTTCATAATTATCAATTTCAAGCATTAGTTTTCATGGGATGTTTTTTATAACTTTGAATTTTAAATTTGCAGAAGTGTAAGCATTTATGTTTTGCTAATTCAATCAGAAGCTTCAACCCACTTAGCGTTAGCATTATCACGGATGGAATGAACATTTCAATTTTCAAAATGTAAAATATGACCTGTCGAAAAGTTACACATTAATTCGCTTGATTCTTATACTGTTTCATTTTTGATCTTTTGACGTGTATTTGATAATTCAACGATCTTCGAAATCTTTACAATTCGCCTTTGCCATTTGTGCGAAAGATGTACAAGTATTAATCAACTGTTTCGTCCGCTTCGCAATGCAAAACTATTGGCTGGTTAAAAAGATTAAAAATATGATATATTTTCCTGAAATATTGTAAATGAAATTTATGAAATGAAATTAGGGCAAAAATTTAACAAATTTCTAAAGCATCTAATTAAACAAGTTTAGTAATGGAAGAATAAAAAATCCACATCATATTTTCATTTTTAAAAATTTGAAATTATACAGTATATTATCATATATGCTAAATAAAATTCATCAAGCTGAAAAAAATGTTAATTGTTAAAATGCTAAATTTTTCCAATTATATAATAAATTTAATGATACTTCTCTTCGCAATATTTGAAAACTGTAAAGTGTTTTTGAAGAAGCAATGAATTAAAGTAAAGTGTTGAAAAACCAAATTTTAACATTGTTAAATTACCGCTTACGACGAAAATTTTTGCGTAGAACTCACATTGAAATCATTTCAAATCTGATCAAATTTCAATACTTTATGTTTTTTGAATTTCAATTCCGTTAAAAATGTATGATGCTCCATTTTTTTTCTTTTTTTTGCTTTTTCTCTTTTTTTTTCAATTAACATTGTGCCGTTCTGATTAAAAAATGATCGGTCATACTTTTCTTCGTTCTTCTTCTCATCAAAATTTCATCGGAATTTTTATCAAATAAATATCAAACTGGAATTGCAGTTATAATGAAAAAAAAAAATTTGTTGAATTTTTAAAAAAGAAGAAAACGTAATTTATCCGAAAAAATTTTTCACATAAACTATACTTTTGCTATTTTCTGTGCAACAATAATTCTGAGGATCTTGATATAAAAAAGGAAAAAGAGAGGGAAAAGGAAAGAGCGAAAGAGAGGGAGAGGGGGAGGGAGAGGAAGAGAGAGAGAAAGAGGGAAAAGGAGGGAAGAATTGGATGGTCAATGAGAAGGAAATCGAAATGGAAGCAGAAAAGGAATGAAATTTCTGAATAAAGAGAATTTGACATGAAAGAAGTTTTAATTTAATAACAATTTTGATCATTTCATAAGATCTTGAAGTAAAATAAATGAAAATTAAATATTAAATTACACTGAAATTTCAAAAGGGAAACAAATAAGGGAAAACAAAATTAAAGATGGTAATGAATGTTTTTTTTTTTTCTAGTATCAATTTAGATTTAGACCTATCAGTTAGCATAGGAAAATTATAATGCTCTCGAATATATCTGCTTCATCCACGACTTGACCTTCTTCTTCTGTATCGTATCATCTTAAAGCACTTCATACCTTCTGAAGGCCCAGAAAACTCTTCACATATTGATAAAAAGAGAATTGCATCGAAAAAAAGAAGAGAACAGTTTTAGCTGAGCGATTCAAATGGACCAGAAAGGATGCAAAATTTTTTTAAGTAAATGATATATCCTTGTGAAATGGTATTTTTCAAGGTTACTAAAAGATAAGGCTATCTTGTGGTAAAATTATGAGAGGGAGAGAGAAAGAGAGATGTAAAGCTGCAAGGTTTAAAAATTGACAAATCGATATTTTCTTGTATAAAATGGAATAACGATTACCTACCAACAAAATCTTTTATTCCTCATTAACGGTAGTCCTTTTTTTTTTTCAAATGAGTGAATCAACCAGTGGTCAGTCGATCGAACTTTTTTTTATGCTTAATATACTAAATGTTTATGTCTAAATGTACTAATCTTTTCAATAACTTCCGAAGCAGTGCTATTCAAGGATTCACTCAACCAAAGTTTAGAGATAACGGACAATAGCATACAGATACCGCCTTTTAAATTTCCGCTTGTGAAGGATATGACATTTTGATACTGCATTCTTAAACAGATAAAAATTTTTCATATCGTTCCAGGGTGGTAGTAATTTGTTTAACGGACCGCATTTAAAGAATAATTTGAAATTTTGACATTTTTGGGGGGATGGTTGGCGGTGCGCGCAAGTTTGGCTGCTTGGACTGCTCAGATTAAAGGAGGACGTGAAGTGGGACCGGGGCGTCATTCTCTATGTGTTAGATATATAGAGACTGTGAAAATTGGATTAAACTATATTAGTGTATTTGCTAACCAACACTAAGGATGCCAGTAATCAAAAAGAATCAAATTTGGTTGGCTTGAATCAGTCGATATCTTTTTTCTCAAATATAATTGATAATTTCTTTCCAAATAAGAACTTTATCCTAAGTAAATTTGTTCATTCTACTGTAACTTGGTTTTCGTTCTAAATATGGCTCTGTCTCCTCTATTTATTCCAGTTCTTTAAACAGTAAAAGAGTTATCAGTTATTTTGTGATATAGTAGTTATTGTGGATCATAGGTGGATTTTCTGATCAATTTTGCAAGTAGAAGTAGAGTCGTAAGCTTTAATTGAATATTTTGAAATGACACAGTGACATCTGAATCATCTTTGTGAAGTTAAAGGAAAATAATTAGTATGATCTGTACCCTCCTGATTAACGTTGCTTTAGACCGATTGCTTCGTGCTACTTTTTAGATTCCTAAGCTAACGTACATTTTT